CCCCGGCTAATCCCTGCCCGTCCCCTGCATGCCCCCTCTGCCTGCCCTTGCCCGCTCCTGCCTTTGCCCTTGCGTCCTCCAACCCAACCCCCTGCTCCCCCTCGACCCGTCCCCGGACCCGCTCCCCAGCACCCCCCCTCCCCTTACGCGCCCCGACCACCCTGCCGGCGGGGTGCCCGGGGGCAGAGGGCCGGTGCCCGCAGTGCTCTGCCCAGCCCCTACCCGCAGGGCATGTGCAGGCAGGAGGATGGGGCCCCGCGGGCAGTGGCAGGGTCGAGGCTGGTCCCCACGCTGAGTGGGTGGGACCCCCGGGGACCGGCCCCCCTGCAGCCCCCGTGGCTCCTCGCCGAGGATGCTCTGGGGAAGGATGGAGGTGGTGACCCCCGTGCTGGGATGTGCCCGGCTCGGAGCAGAGGGACTGGGGACACGTTTGTCCTCCCGGAGAGGCCGTGTCCTGGAGCGCATCCCACGCCACCGGCTCTGCCAGCATCTCTCCAGCACCCAGCCGGCGGCTGGCGGGTCCCTCCGTGCTGCCCCTCGGGGCCGGGGTCCATTCGGGCCAAGTCCTAGAAGACCTCGTAGGCAGGGAGCAGGCAGCTCCTGGGCAGGCAGTGTGCCCGGCTGTGGTGGTGGGCTGCTCAGGGTGGGGGGAGCTGAGGCCGCCCCTGCCCGCAGCGGGAAGGAGGGCACAGGGCTGGGGCTCCGTCCCGCTCCGGGGGGCACTAGCTCTGAGGAGGGCTGAGGCCCCAGAGCTGTTCCTCTGGGCGGTAGTGGGTGCCTGCCCTGGACCCCTACCCCTGTCCAGGGGTGCGTGCCCTGGAACGGGGGTCCAGCAGCTCAAGGAGTGCCTCGAAGCCCCATCCCACAGGAGCTGCCCAGACCCTGACTTTGCCCCCATTTCAGACACCCTGCTCCCATCCTGGGGGATGTCCTGGAATCTGCGGGCAGTCACGCTGCCTGAAGGGTGCCTGGCAGGGTGGCATGGCCAGCGGCAGCACCCAGCCCTGGGCCACTTGGCTGTGGGGCTTCCTGTGCCATGTTTGCACCAGTTCTGGGTATGGATCCCAGCTCCTGCTCTGCTTGGTGGCCCAGCCGACATTCACCCTGCCTGACCGTGCCCCAGCATGGCACTGGACCCCGGGGTCTCTGTCCTGCCTGGCACACAGCAGTGGCCTTGTGCCACCGCAGCCCGGGCTCCTGCAGGGACCAGAGGAGCCTTGCGGGGAGCTGGGCAGTGCCCTGGCTGCCCTGGGGTGTGGGCAGGATGCAGCCCCAGCTCCCAGAGCCCTGCCAGGTTCCTGGGCATGGCACATGGCAGAGCCTAGCCGCTGGCCTCTCTAACCCCAACTCTGTCTCTTTCTTCCCCCAGGGAGTAAAACCCAAGGTGTGGTGCAAGGCGTCACCTCAGGTACAGTCTCCTCCAGCTCCTTGCCGCGGTACCCCTCCGGCCCCAAGAATATGTCTAACGAGATCAGAGGCTAATTGAGGGGCTGATGTCACCCGGCTAAAGCCTCTTATATAACAGGGCCCGCAACGAAGGATTTGCGGCGGCTGCTCACACTCCCTGCCCAGCTGCAGAGCAGCGTCCCGGCCCCCTCCCCTCCCCAGCTCCTGGTCAGGGAGGCAAGGAGGGCCTGATCCTGCCCAGAGCCCCCCCACCAGCACCCCCCCACCATGTGATGCAGGGCATGGAGCCATGGCTGAGCACCCCTCCCTGGTATGGGGAGGGGGGCACTGATGGGCACCCCCGCCTCTTGCAGTGGCTGAGAAAGCCAAGGAGCAGGCGTCCCAGCTGGGTGAAGCAGCCTTCTCGGGCGCGGGCAACATCGCGGCGGCCACTGGGCTGGTGAAGAAGGAAGAGTTCCCTGCAGACCTGAAGGTGAGACCCCCCCAGCCACTGTCACGCCCCCAGGCTTGGTGGGGAGCCCCTCGGCTGCTCCTCAGCCTCGTGGGAGGGACCCCGAGGGTCCCCAACTGCCCCGGGCAGGCTCTGGGGCCCCCCATGTGCCGGCTGTGTGCGTGGATGCTGCGGACGTGTGCGTGCGCGGGCTGCTGCATGGCGGCTGGCGACGCATCGCTCCAGCGGCTGCGAGGTGACCTGACAGCTGCGGGAGTGCAGGGGTGGGGAGGGGCAGTGGGGTTCGCATCTCGCCGCCCCCCGTGAGCTGTCGGCTTCCAGCTTAGCCCAAAAATAGCATCAGCTGAAGAAATGAGGCCACCGCCGCTGCATGGGGGGATCGGCCGCCCCCCCCTTTTTCCTCCTGCCAGCCGCTCTGCCAGCCCCGGGGAGGGGTTACCCAGCACCACCCACCCCTGACAGGGATGCAGAATGCTTCCGTGCCCCCC